GGGGGGGGGCCACGCGCCAGAGCCCCCAGCCCCGAACCACCGCGAGAAGGGGGCAAGGGGGCCGGTGCCCCAGCGCCACGGCTCACGCCGCTCATTCTCACCACTGCAGAGACAGACCTGAGGATCACGGTTCTAAGCCAGCCCGGGCAAGAAGTCTGGGGGTCTTGACCTCCAAAGTAACCAGCAAAATGCCAGGCTGGAGGCGTGGCCCAGAACCTTCCTCCCAGGCCTCGCCTGCCAGGTGGTGCTGGTTCTCACCCCAGGAGCCCGGGCCTCAGCTGTGAGGCTTCTAACCTAGTGGGGCTCCTCCTCTTCCTGACCTCTTTGGGGGAGACCCCCACCACCTGCTCAACTGTGCCCCAAGTTAAAATCTTGCCAGAGCACCAGTGGCTCAGGCCTGTCATCCCAGCTACTCAGGAGGCTGAGATCTGAGGATCGCGGTTCAAAGCCAGCCCGGGCAAGAAAGTCTGTGAGACGCTTATCTCCAAGGAACCAAGCAAAAAGCCAGAAGTGGTGCTGTGGCTCAAGTGGAGGAGCCCCAGCTTTAAGTAAAGCTCAGGGGCAGTGCCCAGGCCCAGCACACACACACACACACACACACACACACACACACACACAGGTCCACGACCACCGGCAGTCTGTGGTGTGCTGGGGGGGGGAGGCAAAACAAAAGCAGAGTGGATGGTGTGGGTGAGCCCAGGCCGGCTGAGTGGGCGCGGGAAGCGCGGCTCCCGGTCTGTGTGGGTGCAGAGATCAGGGGCTGCGCGCTGTGGACGCCGTGGCCGTGACTAGGAGAGGCGGTGACCCTCGTGTCCCGGCCGGATCCTGTCCCCGACACCACGCAGCCTCGGGCACGGTGCTGTGCGGAGCCGGCTGTGCGGGGGCACACACAGGCAGGGCAGGTGGACATGCCTGGGGTTGGGGACTTCTGAGAAGTTTCCAGAAGCGCTGGGAGCAGGATGCAGTCCGCGCTGGCACGGGTGGAAGCGCCAGGCCCAGGCTGCTGTGTGTGTGAGAATCGGGGTGTGGGCGTGGAGCTGGACTGGCAAAGCCAATGAAGAAGGTTCCAGAAGCGCCAGAGGCTCACCCTGTCATCCCAGCTACTCAGGAAACAAATTGTTCAAAGCCAGCCCAGGCCGGTGTTCCACCTCACCCGTGGCACTGCGGCTCCAGCGGCAGAGCCCCAGCCCCGCCTGAACCCCACACAGCCAAAAGGCGTGTTCTCGTTGTTGTTGTTGTTGTTTGCCGTTTTTGTTGTTTTCCTTTTGTCCTTTGCTGTCGTTGGGGGAAGGGTTACCCAATGCCCACTATCTTCCCCAGCCACAGACTGCGCCCCGCAGGGGAGGGGGGTGGGGGCGCGTGTGGAGGGGAGGCTCGGCCTGCAGCCGCAGGACGTGCGTGCACGCGCAGCCTGCGTCCCCAGAGCGCCTGCGGAGGACAGCGGCCGCCCGCAGCCCCGCCACCGACACAGCCCTCCCAGAGAGGCGAGGCCGCAGTGGTAGAGCGTTGGTCTTCAGCTGAAGAGCTGGGGGACAGCGCCCGGGCCCAGAGTTCAAGACCCACGCACGACAAAAAAAAAAAAAAAAGGAAAAAAAAAAGAAGAGCCCATAAGCAGGGTGGAGGGAGGAGAGGCGGCTCTGCCGGGAGGCCTCACCCACACCAGGGCGCAGCCACACGCAGGGCCTGGCGCTGCCCCTCGGCTTTTTTGCTCCAGGCTGGCATTCCACTGCTTGAGCCACAGCTTTTTGGTAGTGAACTGGAGATCAAACTCCCACGGACTTGTTTTTGCCCTGGGCTAGTTTTGAACTGAGATCTTTAGATCTCAGCTTCCTGAGTAGCTGGGGTTACAGGAAGGAGCCACCGACCCTGGGCCTCTTTGTGTGTGGCTTAGAACACTTGTCTAGGGCATCCTGGCGGCTGTGGGGAGAAAAACAGATGGACACAGAGACAAAGATCCTCTACCCCAGAGCCCAGGGCTGTCTGAGACGCTGCCACGCCCGGGCCAGTGGGACTCAGCAGCCGGAGAGCTGAAGCCGGCAGGCGCGCGGGGACACGGGCCGCTGCCCGCTGCCGGCCACCATCACTGACACCTGATGAATGCAAATCTTATCACCCAGCTATCGCTAGGGTGAAGGGAGGGTGTGGGAGGGAGAGGGGAGGGAGGGGAGGGAGGGGCCCATGACACACCTACCTCAGGAGGAGGAGGAATGTCACCCAGCAGCCTACGTATTGAACATTGGGACGGAGGGGAGGCTCAGTACCAGGCACAGAGTCCTACTCTGTGGAACGGAGAGTCCTCTCCAGACCTTCCAGATTCCCCATGCTGAAAGGGGAAGCCTCTCTCAGCTGTAGCTGCATTCCCCTCCTTGCGTTGGTATTCTGGGGTGGACCACGAGGACACTGTTCAGGAATGGTGTTGGAACTTGGTGTGTGGTTGTGCTGGGATTTGAACTCAGGGCCTCACACTTGGTGGGGCTGATGCTTTACCACTTGAGCCACTTCTGGAATGTTACTGGTCCAGTGGAGATGAAGAGTCTCACGGACTTTCCTGCCTGGGCTGGGTTTGAACGGAGATCCTTGGGTCTCGGCCAGGCCTGACAGGGGTCACCCTGCTGGGTGGCCGGTGGGGGCTGCGGTGCCCGGCTCTGAGGAAGGAGGAGGGCTTGGGCCTCTGAGTCACGGTGAGGCAGGCCGCTCTTTCCCCGACCTGGGGCGCAGTCTGAGTGTGCTGGGGCCGAGGTGAGGCACAGGCCCTCCCTTGGCTCCGGTACTATCCACCACTCCTTATCATGGCTGACGGGAGTCGCCAGGGGCTGTGCGGAGCCGGCGCCGGCAGCTGGGGCCTCTGGGTGCCCACAGCCCTGGTTGACCCGGGAGCTGGGCAGAGGCCCCAGGCCCACAATCACAAGGACCTGCCCCGCAGACTGGAAGCAGCTCTGCTCCATCCGACCCTGCACAGCCGTGCCGACCCCACACAGCTGCGCCCTCCCGAGGACCCACCGCGGCTACGTCTGTCTACAGCCTGTGTCCGTCCCTCTCCCCCCCTGTCATTCATGGGGATGAACTCGGCCTGGGGGGTTCAAGGCCAGAACTCTACCACTTTGAGCCACAGCACCACTTCCGGTTTTCTCCTAGTTCATTGGAGATAAATCTCATAGACTTCCCACTGGGGCTGGCTTTGAACCACAATCCTCAGATCTCAGCCTCCAGAGTAGCTGGGTTGACAGGTGTGTGACCCGCACCGGCTCCAGTGTCATCTTAAGCCACTGGTCATTTGTCCCACGGAAACCGACACACGGAATGCTGCTGAACCGAACAGGAACGAGGACCGAACCCCGCGGGCACTCCTGCCAACCCGGGCTGCCTCAGGGCCGCACCACGAGCCTGGGGGCGCTGGGCGCCAGCGCGAAGCCAGACACGGGGCCGTGGCCCAAGTGGTGGAGCGCCAGCCTCGAGTGAAAGAGCCCAGGGCCGGCGCATGCGCACACGCGCAGGCCCCGCGGGCAAGGCCCAGGGCCGGTGCATGCGCACACGCAGGCCCCGCGGGCAAGGCCCAGGGCTGGCGCATGCGCACACGCAGGCCCCGCGGGCAAGGCCCAGGGCTAGCGCATGCGCACGTGCAGGCCCACGCAGCTTCTCTCCACACCCCGCTCCTCCTCCTCACCTGGGAACCTCCCGGCCACGGCTCCCAGCGCCTCAGAAGCTTCTGGGCCTTCTTCTCCCGCGGGCCTTTCCCGTCCCCACACAAGTCACCGCTAGTGTTACTTTGTGTCGGCTTGGGGGCTTGAACTCGGGGCCTGCGTGCGCCCTTCCCGCCTGGGTCCTCAAGGCCCTCTTGTGCCCCGTCCCCCGTCAGGGCGTCCCCGGCGCCCCCGCGCGGCTCCTGCCGGTAGCGCCCCAGCCGCCGCCGCAAGTTTGGGAGTCGCGCGTGCACAGGCCTGCCGGGTCCGCCCCCCTCGCGACAGCCAGCCAACCGGCGCTGGGTACCGCCCACACGCCCGCCCCCAACGCCACCCTCAGCCAACCGCAGCGGCTCTGGGCAGCTCAAGTGTACGCCCGGTAAGAGCTGACCAATAGGCGTTGGTCACCGCCCACAGACATGATTCCCTCCCCCCCCTGCCAATCGGAGCTGCGCACAGCCTGCCTCGCGGCTCCTGACTGGCTGGACGGTTGTCAAGGCAACGGCGATCCGCCTCCCCCCACTTTCTCCCGCGCCTTTCCTACCTGGAGCCCCTGGGGCTGCTCTCCGACAGGTCCGCGCTCGGGCTCCCCTTCCTCTCCACAGCCCCGCACCCTTTGCCCTCCCTCGGACCCCAGATCCTTCTTAGCCCCCACTCCTTGAGGCCCCCAGAATCTCAGCGTTGTCCTCACAGCCCGACCACCCTCTTTCTTTTTCCCTACCTGCCCCCCCCCACCTGGACAGCGCCCCCCATTCATTCCCAGAAGCCCCTGAGCATCGCGGGCCGGGACTGTGCGCCCGGCCCGGGCGGGCCCGCCTGCCAGCCCGCGCTGCCCTCATCTTTCTAGGTCCAGTGCAGAGGCACCTGAGCCGCCCGGAACATTCCAGGCCTAGAAAACGCTAGAACGTGCCCACAGCATGAAGGAAGACCTTCGCTGCGTGCACCCCAGGTCAGGAAATCCTCGCGGGACTCTGTCCCCAACGTTTAGGATGCACATTAGAAAAGGAAAAGAGAAAGGGACCAGGCTTGCAGAATGCCTTCCTCAAATGGAATCTTCTAGAAGCTGTTTGTGCTGGGACACACTTGAAGCCCCATCATGACCGGGCAGCCTCAGGACACGGTTTATCTTCTCGCAGTTGCTGGAAACTACAATGCCACCAGGCATGGCCTGAGTGTGGGGCACAGGGGACGCCGCGGGGGACAGCAAGGAACGGAAATGAGTTACACCGAGAGAGCTGATGGGGAAACCCCAGGCTCCCCTCAGTAACAGGAAGTAATTGAGCACGCAGAGGCCAGGAAGAGGGTGGCCTGTGTGAAAGGTCAGCCACACGCTGAGGAAACCTGACTGGTGGCCTTCAGAGAGCCCAGTGGAGGGGTGGAGGGTTGGCATTCAGTACTTCAGGGGAGCCGGGCCTGGTGGCACATGCCTATAATCCCAGCACTCAGAAGGCTGAGGGAAGACTGCACGTTCAAGAGCAGCCAGGGCCACCTAGGAAGAAGCATCCCAAGGGGAAACCTCGGTCCACAGAATGTGAAAGGACCCAGATGTTTTTGATTCTGCAGAAACAGATGTTTTATTGACGTTGATTAAAAAAGGGGGGGGGCTCAGAGGAGACCTGGATGTTCAGAGTTCTGCTGTTAACCCTGCGTGGGATCTGCACTGGTGGAGGAGAGCGAAGAACACACAGCGGCTGGCCCGCTGCCCAGGATGCCCCCCCGGGGGGTACTGAGGGGGACACGGCCCCCGGGGCACAGGGCTTGCGCCTCCACACATCAGAGGTGGGGCCAGCCCGTGTCAAGACCCCAGCCACAGGGGGCCTGGAAGAACCCCAGCTCTCAAATTCTCCATCCCGATTCCCATCTGCTGCACCTGGGACTCCAAGGGGTAGAGGCAATAGATCATGAGACGAAGACCGCTGGTCACGTGACAAGAGGGCAGGTGAGAGGGTCACCGACGGGCAGACGGAGGCCATGGCAGAGACAGAAGGAAGCCAAAGTGGCTGGAAGGCGGGTCCGTGGCAGTGTGCTGGCGTTGCATCGCATGCATGAGGCTCTGGGTTCGATTCCTCAGCACCATATACACAGAAAAAGTTGGAAGTGGCGCTGTGGCTCCAGTGGTAGAGTGCTCATCTTGAGCTGAAGGGACAGCACCCAGGTCTAGAGTTCAAGCCCCGCGACCGACAAAAAAAAAAAAAAAAAGAAAAAGGAAGCGGAAGTGACCGAGATTGGGAGAGACAGGGCCAGGAAAGCTCCTCGCACTGTCACCCCAGCTACTCGGGAGCTGAAATCTAAGGATCAAGATTCAAGGCCATCCCAGACAGAAAAGTCCGTAAGAGTCTCATCTCCAGTGAACCAGCAGAAAGCTGCAAGTAGAGCTGTGGCTCAAGTGATGGAGCGCCAGCTTTGAGTGGAAAAAGAGTGCAGGGTTCTGAGTTCAAGCCTCATTACTGGTATGCGAGCATTTACACATACACATACACACACACACACACACACACCAGTGAGAGTCTGGAGATACCACATCAAGATTCCTCCAGAAGCTGTGCACTGGTGGCTCACACCTGTCATCCTAGATACTTGGGAGGCTGAGATCTGAGGATTGAGGTTCAAAGCCACCTGGGCAGGAGAGTCTGTGAAACTTTTTTTTTTTTTTTGCCAGTCATGGGGCCTGAACTCTGGGCCTGGGCGCTGTCCCTCAGCTCTTCAGCTCAAGGCGAGCGCTCCACCACTTGAACCACAGCACCACTTCCAGCTTTTTCTGCTTATGTGGTGCTGAGGAATCGAACCCAGGGCCTCATGCATGCAAGGCAAGCGCTCTACCACTGAGCCACCTTCCCAGCCCCTGTGAAACTCTTATCTCCAATGAACCACCAGAAAACTGGAAGTGGTGGTGTAGCTCAAGTGGTAGAGTGCCAGCCTGGAGCTGAAGAGCTGAGGGACAGCGCCAGGCCCAGAGTTCAAGACCCACCACCAACAAAAAAAAAAAGAGAAAGACTCCTCCAGAGCCCAAGCCCCAGGAGATTGATCCAGGACAGCAGGACGGACAGAGACAGCACCGTGAGCCTTACCATCGCATGGGGTCTCCCTGTGAGCCCCTCGGTGCGAATGACGGCCTCCCCAGCACCCCTCGCTCTGCTGTTAGATGGAGCCGGCGGCCCAGCAGAGCCCACTGCACCCTGCCGGGAAGCTGGATGGGAAAGTCACTCAACACGGTACAAAACTGTCCACCATCACCACAGCCGCCGGCGCCGCTGGGTGCCTCTGGCTCACACCTGTCATTCCAGCTCCTCAGGAGGCTGAGATCTGAGGATCGCGGCTCAAAGCCAGCCCGGGCAGGAAAGTCCATGAAACTGATCTCCAATGAATCACCAGAAAACTGGAAGTGGCGCTGTGGCTCAGGTGGTAGAGCGCTGGCCTTGAGCTGAAGAGCTGAGGGACAGCGCCCAGGCCCAGAGTTCAAGGCCCACGACCCACAAAACAAAAACAAAACCATCCATTACAAACCCCTAACACCTGAGCTGAGGGAAGGACGGAGGCGGGAGCCAGTGGGCCTCTCCTCCCGACCCAGGCCCCGCGCCAGGCAGCGCCCGGGCTACAGGGTGGAGTCTATCAGCGGGTGGCCGTTCTCCCGCAGCGCGATGCGCGCGCCCGGCCCGGCGGAGGGCGATGCGCGCGCGGTCCCGGGGTCGGCCCGGCGCCCGCACGCCCAGCACAGGAGGCGGCGGAAGGTGCGGCGCATCTCGGCATCGCGGCAGGAGTACACGGCGGCGTTCACCAGTGAGTTGGCCTCGGCCAGGAGGAGGACGTACTTCTCCAGGGCCAGGACGTCGCAGGACTTGCAGTCCAGCCCGTCTAGGAGCAGCAGCACCTGGCCCGGCGTCCAGCAGACCACGAACGCCCCTGCGGGACGGAGGCGGGGCTAAGCCGAGCCGGGCCCGCGTGGGGCTGGGCCGAGCTGGCTTGGCAGGGACTAAGACAGGACTCCACACAGCTGCTCTGCTCAGGGTGGTCAGGGCCCTGGAAGCTTCTGTGTGGAAATCTCTTCATTGAGGACAATTGAGCTAATCCTTAGCTCACACCTCCTATCCCAGCTGCTCAGGAGGCTGAGATCAGAGGATCTCAGTTCAAAGCCAGCCCAGGCAGGAAAGTCCGTGAGCCTTTTTCTTTTGTCGGTTGTGGGGCCTGAACTCTGGGCCTGGGCGCTGTCCCTCAGCTCTTCAGCTCAAGGCTAGCGCTCTACCACTGGAGCCACAGCGCCACTTCCAGCCTTTTCTGCTTATGTGGTGCTGAGGAATGGAACCCAGGGCCTCAGGCATGCAAGGCAAGCGCTCTACCACTGAGCCACCTTCCCAGCCCCTCCATGAGACTTTTGATACCAATGAACCACCAAAAATGCGGGAGGCAGAGCTGTGGCTCAAAGTGGCGGTGTGCTAGCCTTGCATGAAAAAGCTCAGGGATAGCGCCCAGGCCCAGAGTTCAAGCCCCAGGACAGACAAAAAAAGAAAAAAGACCCGGGACCGGCACAAAATGTCAGCTCTGTTTTGGGACGGCAGGCAGGATGTGTGTCCACCCAAGTTCTTTTAGCACCAGTCCAGCGTGGTGGGGAAAGGCTTCCTGTGAAGCACAGGAGTCAGCGGGGCCTGCACCTGGTTTCCAAGGCCTTGCGGGCTGACCACGCAGGCTGGGCCTCGGAGCTTCTCCCTCCCTGGCAGCTCCTCAGAGAACCCCTCTCCTCAGATCACCTCACCCTTCCAACCTGCTCTCCCAGATAAAGTGTCCATGGGGTGGGGGTGGGGGGGAAATGGGGGAAGGGCAGGGATACTCACCCAGGATGATGACCACCGTCTTGACCAGGCTGAGCGTGGTCTCTCGGTAGCGGGGGTGGCAGCTCACGTGCTCGGCCATGCGCCGCACCCGCCTCCTGACGTAGAAGAAGATGCGCGCGTAGACGGCCACCATGAGCAGGAAGACCAGCAGGCTGGACAGTGCCCACACAGCCAGATAGGAGCGGCTGAGCAGGGGCGCCATGCGGGAGCAGCGGTCCAGGGCGCAGAGGCAGTGCCAGAAGTGGGCGGGCAGCAGGCCCAGGCCCAGGGCGGCCCCCCACACCCCCGCGATGAGCGCCAGCACGCGGCCGCGGGGCAGCTGGCCGTGCAGCTGCACGGCCATCACGCTGCGGTGCCGCTCCACGGCGATGGCCAGCAGCGTGGCCACCGACGCCGTCAGGCTGGTGTCCAGCAGGCCCTGCCTGAGGAACCAGGCGCTGAGGGACAGGCGGGCGGTGCGCGGGCCCGTGTGGAACATGAGGAAGAGGTAGGCCACCCCCGCGAAGAGGTCAGCGGCCGCCAGGTTGCCCAGCAGGTAGTAGATGGGCTGGTGGAAGCGGCGGTTGGAGGCGATGGCGGCGATGACCAGCAGGTTGGTCAGCAGCACCAGCGCGCTCACCGTCAGCCCCAGCGCCACCACCACCGCGTCCTTGGGCCGCCAGTGCGCGCTGAGCTCCTTGCCGCTGTGGTTGTAGAAGAAGCCGATGGTCTCGTTGTAGTAGCAGTGGCCCATAGTGACCATCTGAGGGGAGACAGACGGACAGAGGGACGGAGGGACACAGCGAGGTGAGGGGGGCGGCGCCCCGCCGGGGACCTGGGCGGGAGGGGCCCGCGCTGTTCGGTAATGAACCCTTTGATGAGCGATCCCGATCGGGGTGCTTTGTGTTGGCTCCTCGACGGCCCAGTCCGACCCGCGGGCCTCGCGCGGGGGCCGGGGCCGGGTCGGC